TATTTCTGTTATAGCAGCACTAGATGACTAAGATAGCCTGGTTAATCTTGATCAGAATCAGGAGTCAGGAAGATCGTGAACAACTGGGATAATTTAAGGTTTTCACTCTTCACACAGAAGTTTCTACAAAATGCTACAGCAAGGGGAAGAAAGTACCATATGGCAGGTGACTTTGGGTTCATGGTATCAACTCTTCTCTGCGAGCTAGCTGGCTTATAAATGAGGGCGGAATGCAAACAGCTTTACACCTGGATTGTCAGTAGTGGTCTGTTAGGTCTTTGAAAACAAGACGTTACCTTGGTAGCCAGCATTTGTTGCTGTGCCTCAATCTGTTGCTGCTGGCGAGATGCCATTTCCTGAAGTTCGGCAAGAGTCAGGTCCATCCTAGGACTATTCACCTACAAGCAAAAGCACAAGCAAATGCATCATGCAACGTGTTCTAAAATGACCATAGAAAGCCCTCCTCAGAGGTCTATTTATAAATTCCATCTGAACCATGACAAACTTATTTAGCCTTTTTTTCATAATATTAAATAGAGCATTAATTTTTATATATTACTATCTCATTCCAAAGATAATGAAAAAACTTAACAAGATGTAAAACATACTAATATACAAACGAACAATCTTTTTTTTTTCCCTTTTCTATTGTGAAAACAATCTTACATTTTAAGTTGTTAATTTAAAATTAAACAGTTTCAGCAGCTGGAGATATAAATGGAACAACTCAGCATTACCTTGTCTGTAGTTAGCTTGTATTAGGATAACAGTGTTTGATCATATTAAACATGAAATCAGGGGCAATGGCAGCAAATCTAGAATATGGTCATCAGAATGTCAATTAAGAACATGGCAGTAACTAGATGGTGCCCAGCTACTACCAACGACCGCTCTGACAGGGATCACAACATAGACCCCTGGACAGAGCTGGAGAAAAATGTAGAACAAAATTCAAATTCACAAAAAAAGACCAGACTTACTGGTCTGACAGAACCGGAGGAACTCACAAGACTATGGCTCCTGGACACTTTGCTAACCCAAAACTGAAACCACTTCTGAAGCCCACTTTTCAGACAAAGACTAGACAGACCAATAAACAATAACACACGTGAGGAATGTGCTTCTTAGTTTAATCAAATACACAAGACCAAATGGGCAACTACTGCCCAAAAGCAAGACAAGAAGGCAGGAAGGGAACAGGAACTGGACGAATGGACACAGGGAACCCGGATGGAAAGGGGGAGAGTGCTGTCACGTTGTGAGGACTGCAACCAGTGTCACAAAACAATATGTGTATAAATTTTTGAATGAGAAACTAACTTGAGCTGTAAACTTTCACCTAAAGCACAATAAAATTTTAAAAAAATGACAGTGACATTAGAAAATTGAAGATATACTGGGTCATCAGGAACAAAGCAAAGATTTCTACTCTCACAACTTCTAGTCAACATTGTCCTAGAAGTTCTAGCCAGTGCAATAAAGCAAGAAAAAGAAATACATAGCATCCAGAATTGGAAAGAAAGAAGCTACTATCTTTATTTAACGGACAACATACCATCTGTGAAAAAGATCCTGCGGAATCTACAAAAAGAGCTACCAAAACAAAAAAGGGAGTGCAGCACAACTGCAGGATGGACGATCAACAC